GCACTGTGACTGCTGGATATGGGCACCAGTGACCCACGCAACCCTGAAAAGGAAGAAGCGTGTACAGAAAATGGATGGATGGATGGATATATATATACATACATGTACACACACACATCCATACAGTACATACGTACATACACTCAACAGTTCCTACATCTACAGCTCTAAATTTGCCTCTGCATTACTTTCGTTTCCACTTAGGTCCAAGTGGTTTTACAGGTGTAAAAGTAATATGGCTATGCTAAAAAGCAACTAAAACGTCTGGATGATGCATTGCCCCAAGCCTACAGCTGAAATGGCTTCACCTTTGATTATGGGCTTCACATCTGTTGACAGTGACGAGGAATGTGCCATCTCAAATCCAAGGCTTCGACTGTGTGAAGCCGTGTCCTCCAGTTTCACTGACGTCAAACCCATCGTAGACATGTCCTCCACATCAATGGGTTCTTCCTTCATCACCAACGAAACATGAGATTTTCCTGAATGTAGGTCAGAGTCATTTGGGTTGTGAGTTTGTATGTTCTGTACTCCCCCCTGCCGGACAACTTGCTGATCTTCTTTAATGGGAGACGTTTTATGCTTCTTTTGGAAAAAGTTGCTTAGAATAGTGCTGCTTGATTTCTGGCCCCTCTCTCTAGAGGTTTTACGTTTGACAGTAGAAGCTGGGGTCTTTGGTGATATTGGAGGAGACTCAAAATTTATTTTTGACAACTGTTGTCTGGAAAAAGCACAAAAACAAAAGCATATGTGAATGAAAAAGTTCAAACCGCACACAGTTTATGTAGGGTAACAAAGAAAAAAAATTTACTTCAAAAACAGACTGAGCTCATTAAAATAAAAAAGACTATAAATGCCAGTGACAGTAAAGAGCACTTAAAGGAAGAACTCCCATCTGCTTCGTTATCCTGCTGCTTTTCTACTGAACGAAAAACAGGAGAAGCTCTGGCTACAGTCTTGGAAAAGTGGAACGCAAACAAACTGCAGCTGGGCCATTGCTTGGCAATAAAAAGGGAATCAATGAGGTGTGTGATGTTCTCCTTTCCATATTTAAAACTTATTTGTGCTTACTGTTCCCATTAGAGCTCATGCACTTGTGTGCCCAGAGATGCACGCACGTCAAGGTGAATGTGATGTGGAAACAGCTATTCTTGTGACAAACTACTCCTGGTAGAATTCATCTGTAACACTGCAGACACTCCAGGATTTATAGTCTACAAAACCATTTAAAATGTCACAATAAGAGATGAGTTGCTGAACTAAGGTCTTCCTTAAATTAGTCCCTGAAGTGACTTAGACTCCATTTAGTTGTAATGATAAATCTACTGTTACCCATCTGCATTGTTACTCAACATTAAGCTAAATAATTCAATTATATCACCTCCTAATTTTACATTTATTACTAGAAAATGCAATAAACTCAAAGGAAATGTGTCAATCTGACATTATTTTTGGGAAGTTTGGTTTTAACTTAATAATAGGGATGCACGATATATCGGTATTGATATCGGTATTGGCCGATAATTGGTCWTTTTTTTTTAGAATATCTGTATCGGTCCGATATGTAAAACGGGGTCAATATATCCAATATCGATATTGGATATCGATATCGGCTGAAATTTTCATATTGGTGCATCCCTACTTAATAACTATGAATAAAAACAGCTAGTTTATGATTATTAGTTCCATTGTAGAATTGTTTTTTTTTCTTTTATAAGTGAATCCATCTTCTCTGAATAACTCAGGTAACAACATAATCAAACGAAAATTACTGTAACACAAAACACAGACCAACAAGTGTTAACAATCTTCAAACATAAAAATCAAAGTTTCAACTGGCATGGATTCAAATAATTTTTAAATTGAATAAAATGAGCAAGAGGATGATCTAAACAATTGGTAACTCTAAATTGTCCAGTTGCCAAATTGTCCAGTTGAACAGCTGTTTGTCTCGTTTGTCTCTATGCGTCCCTGTGATGGACTTGTGTCCTGTCCAGAGAGTCCAGAGAATCTAGTTCTTGAACAGTGACTGCTGGACATGTGCACCTGAGACTCCTGTGACCGGAAAGGAAGAAACAGGATGGATGGATGGATGGACAGACGGTGAATTTGATTTTAAAAAAATTACAAATCAGTTAAAATTTACATTGTAATCTTTTTAAAGAAAACAAAGATTTATGAACCAGATAGAAAAACTGGTAAGTTTCTTTTTCAACTGTGAAGTTTTCTACCTTTCACCTGGTAGGATTTGTTCCTCTTCCTCAACTCAGAACTCTGAATTTTGCACGAGGTTAATGTGAATTAATGGATGGTTGGATTGATGGATGGAGCCAAATTCAGAATGCCAATTTTAGTCTCACTATGAAGAGATGTGTTCGCCTAATATTAGCACTAGTACCTCTGACAGGAAGTTATACAGCATTTTGCACAGAGTCAGGAACATAGGAGAGTGCTTCAAAACGTCAGAGTAGAAAAGAAGAAAGTAATCAAGACTTTGTTAAAAACAGCATAAGCAATTAACAACAAAATAAGAAATGTATTCATCTTTTCGTAGGATGAACTAAGAGAAAAAGCAAAGTGTGCACACAATAAAAAAAGCATGTTTAGGACAGAAAACAGCATTGTGCCTTTGGTAATTATGGTAAATATTTTAGCTGCAATGTCTGACATCCGTATCTCGGTGTAGAAGCTCAGCTCTTGCCAGAATAAAGTGATGTGAGCAGAAACTGCACACTAAGAGCCAGCTGTGGCAATATAAAAATGCAGCCCTGTGATAACGGCTAATGGCTTTCTACAGAAAAAGGCCTTCAGTTTAATGGCAGAAAATTAGTGCTATCTTCTAAAAGGTGCCTGATGCAGTGTTTTTTTACGCTGAGAGACCCAATGATAGAGGCGATCCTCACACACGTGTTGAAGCAGAAACTGTACCTGTACTGGGCAGGCATTTAAAACATTCTCCCCAAAAAGATCAACAGACTTGTTATTAATGCAGGAATAAAAAAAATACAATTATGTGTTAAATCAATATTTCAAAAATGATTCACAACTGAGTTTATGTAATAATTTGACTCCAACATTAAAACACAACAACAGTCTCTCCTCTCACCTGCTCAGTGCTTGACAACAGGAAATTAAACAGTGGAGGGCAGAACAGCAGCGTAATTCACTTATTCATAACAACGATGACAATCAGAGGGTCCACTATTGGCAGAGAGAGCGTTCAGACTGCTGATGATGCATGGTGATTGATGGAGAAGACAAACATAGCTGATTATTGACTGATAAAAAATTTAACACAAAAAATGAAGATGGAATGTTAATTAAATGAACTGCATTTTTTGAGGGAATGTATATCGCTCGCCGCCTTTCATGCCAGAGTTAGAAACTAAAACCATCTGATGATGAGAAATGAGGTCTGAAGAGCATAGTGCCAGTGCCGTCCTGAGACTGCAGGTTCGAGCTGAGACTGTGTCAGAAAGGAAATTCAGCATGAAAGACTTTCCAAATCATCCATGCAAGAGCGCTCACTGTGGCGACCCCTACAGGAGGGAGCAGGCCAAAGAAAACATTTTATAATGCACAATGACAAGAATGAAGCCGGCTTGGTCAATGATGATGTCATGAGCCATCTCATAAGATATTGCAAGATGTATTAGTCCTTAAAATATTGAAGATGAAACTCAGCTACTCCCACACAAGATGTACCTCAACAACTGTAAAGTTGACAGAATTATAGTTATTTTTGTGCTGACTAAGGCTGATAACCTGCGGCAGCCATCTTGAATGAGGTCAACTCCAAAAGTTAATAAATTGTAGACTAGTGGTTCCCAACCCTGGTCCTCAAGGACCCCTAATCCAGATTGTATTTTTACTTGTTTCCCTGCTGTTCAGCAGGTCTTCAGAAGATTATTAATCACTCATTCATTCAAGCCAGGTGTGTCAAATCAGGGAAACATCTAAACATGCAGGAAAGGAGTCCTTGAGGACTAGGGTTGAGCATCACTGCTTTAATACATGTTATGTGATTTATTATTTACAAATAAATGGCAAAGAATCAATGACTTTCAGGGGCAATACTAAAAAACATAAATCTAAGTCAATATTATATTTTGAAAATGTCTCATCAAGTTCAGAGAAGCTCTTGAGGTGTTGGTCAACATTTAAAGCAGTGATTTTTAGATGTTTCCCTGATTTGACACACCTGGTTTGAATGAATGAGTGATTAACAATCTTCTGATGATTTGCTGAATAGCAGGGAAACAAGCAAAACATGCTGGATAGGGTTACTTGAGGACCAGGGTTGGGAACCACTGTTGTAGACATACATCCAATGGTTACTTTTTGAGAGTTTAAATAAAATCTGTCTGTTGGTTGATGAGATATTTTGTCGGTGCAATAAACATACAAACACACACGCACCCACACATGAACAAGTTTGTATTTCTATCCTTATTAGGGCCGTTCATTGATGTTCATTCATTTCCAGTCGTTGCTATAGCCTAATGCTGACCCCTCACTAGTCTAAACCTAACCCACCCAGTACACACACCTTAGTTCTAACCCTAAMCCCCAACCCAAAAATGGARTTCCACCATATTAGGRCSGGTYCTTGGTCCCCATATAGACTACTGGTCTTGACAAGKTATGTGTGCATACCAGAAACAGACCAAAAAATGTAACAAATACAAGAATACACACGCACCAAACACAAAACCACCTAAAAAGCTACACTGTTTTAAACTCCTTTTTAAATCTACTTATTAGTAGAATTTATAAGGGAGATTCAAATTTTAAGTATGTAGTGCAATTACAACAAGAAAGAGAAAAAGACCAGGCTTGATATGACTAACTACTTTGAACTTCCTATTTAAAATCCTACCATTCATCAGCCGACTTGAGACTGAAAGCAGGTGAGCAGCTGCACCCATGTGGCAGGTGTTACAGCTTCATCTGAGGGGATTTGCTTCTCTATACAGAGTTACGTGTCACTGGAGGAACAAGTCAAAGTCATTCCAGCATTTCTCAGTCCTATCCCTGAACACTGCTACCAGCCTGTGCCCCTCTTTTGTATTAAAAATGTAACCCTAGAGCTAAAACATAAAAATAATAAAACACACAAATATGTGCAAAAGTGCAATACAATAAATGACCATGTCTAATGAAAARTAAATCCCTGTTTGATTGGCAGAAAATCTGCTAATCATAAGTAGATTACTGAAAGGCAATTATGGAAATGTGGATTGTTTTCCCCTCAAGTGCTGCTGGTGTGTTGAAGTAAACGAGCAGACTTCCTCATGGTCAGACTGAGATCTCCGGTCAATAACAACATGATCCCATGACATCCCCACAGTAATCAGTTTTCTTCTCTGGTCTTAAGAGAATCAAAGTATAAATGGAAAAAGATATTGAAGCAAAAGCATTTGTGTTCATTGCGGAGKCAGACTTATTTCCTGACGTGCTGCTTTTTCTTTTAGTCTTTCCACAAAACAGAAACCCTCCACAAACTCATTCTACAATATTTGAAACTAAATTAAATAACTAATCTATGTGAACTGAGTTAATTATTGCTTGATAACTGTGCCTGTCTGTCATATTGTTTGTCCTCCTAAACTACAGTTAAAATATTGAGTTCAGTTGCAGTAAAATATATATTTTTGCTGTTTATTGTGTGTTACCTTGCAGTTTGAAAGTTTGTAACCAGGTCATCCAACAAGCGGTTGTTTCTTAGGTCTTGTTCTGTCATTTGCTGAGAGAAAAAAGAACATATGAAAACAATTTCTGGAAGGTATAACTTCTACAAAATGTCGTGTGCATTCTCTACCAACACTCAAGGTTGTTCTGTTATCTATAGTGATATAAATCAGCAAAAMATCTGAAAATTACTTGCATTACTGAAGCAGAGTCACAATATTAAGAAAATTTGCTTGATAATTTTTTTATTGGCTTATATAAGAATACCTAAACATTTTTTTCCAATGTATCATCATTATTGCGTTAATTTAATTTTCACTATTAAACAAACTGAACTACATTAAATCATACTAATACTTACTGTATTGCAGACTGGACATTGCAGCTTATAGGAAAGAAACTTTCTGATGCACAATGAACAAACTGTAGAAGGAAATATAAACAATTTATGTTCAACTTAATTCCATAACAAACAGGTACATAATTTTTACATCAGGCTATAATATTTAATTTGTTTGTAATGCTAAAACTTCTACACCCTGAACAGGTCAAGTCCATTAAAAAACCAAACAAGGATTCACATTCTCACTCACACCAAGGGTCAATTTAGAGTTACCAATTAACCTAACATGTTGTTCTGTGGGGGAAATTGGAGTATCCGGAACAAAAAAAAAAACATGGCAAACAATAAGACTGGGAGAGAGACCAGCTGCCTTTTTCTTTTGAAGAAACAGCGCTAACCCCTTCACAAAACAGTTCCAGGATGAAGCCACATCTGGTCATTCATAAATGTACTTATGTGACTTTATAAATGAAACCATAATTGAAGAAATACTGGAAGTGTGGAGTAAACTCATTGGTRTTGATGTAGAAAATACATTTTAAACATGTGTTTTGGAGATTTCCCATCTTGTGACTTCCTGTTTGCTCAGATCACCTGTCATCACTACAACTTAAGGCTGGGCGATATGACTGAAAAATGTATCACAAAATAAATATTTCATATCAATTGATATAGAAAGTTATTAGATTTTTTTGTTTGTTTGTTTTTTGTTTTGCCTATTTGATATAAGGACCAAGGGTCGAATTTATAAAGCTTGCGTACACACAATATGAGCCCAGAAACTTGCGTACGCCACTTTTTACGCCAATGTTGTGGTTTATAAAATCCAAACTTGACGTGAAAATGTGCGGTGCCTCACGCCAGCTGTGACCCATGTGTACGCTCATTTTGGAGACGGGAAACTGCGGCAGAGATGGTGAAGTGAAGAATTAGAGCCACACTGTGTAATGATCACTGTCAGATATTTAATTTACCTTCATCAATCTGACTTAGATTTTTATTCAACTTTATCATCAGCTTTATTAACAGTACTAATATTTATGCTTCTGCTGCTGAGCCATGAGGACCTTTGAAATTAAAAAAAACTTAAATTTTAAATTAAAGTTCCCCTGCGCAACTCCCTTCATCTGCTTCCTCCTCACATGACCCTGAACCACACAGACCCCTCCCTGACCCACAGACCCCTCCCCGACAAGAACAGCAGGACAGCAAAAGTTACGCTTTGGATACACGCGCAGGGCGCATCCACCTCTCCAGTGTGAATGTTATAAACCTTCACATTTAAAGTCCGTATTTGTCACGCGTGTGCGCGGGGCGGGGGTGTCTGCCGCGGATAACAGAGCAGGCAGGAGGGGGAGAGGACGAGGAGAAGAACGGTGGACTTATTTC